GCCCTTTTAACAACCATCATTTTCTAATTCTTGTTGACGCCAAATCCAAATGGCCGGAAGTAATTATGGTTAAAAAATCTCCTACATCAGCGAGCACCACGTATCATTACAAGAAATCTTTAGCCGGTATGGATTACCAGAAATATTAGTTAGTGACAATGCGACCATCTTCAAATCAAATGAATTCAGAGCATTTTGTGGACGGAATGGTATTAAACAACAGATGATTGCACCAGGACATCCAGCCATAAATGGTCAAGCAGAAGGATACTGTCAAACATAAAAACAAAATTTAAATGCATGATGTATGAACCCGGTGATTTACACGCGAAACTTTGTAAGTTCCTCCTGCGGTATCGAGTTACCGCTATCTTCTGGACAGGCACCTTCTAAACTTTTTTTAGGAAGAAATGTACGAACCAAGTTAGATTTTATGAGACCAACTGAATCAGCAAAAAAGAAAAACAATTCGAGTTTCGAGAAACATTTTCAAGTGGGCGATAGAGTTCAATCCAGAAATTATTCAAGACATGGATTATGGAAGTATGAAATAATTACAAAATGTATTGGTAATCTACAGTATTTAGTAGAACTAGATGATGGTTATGTAATTAAAGCATCATTACAATTAACTTCGTTCCTGTAATGTGGAGAAGAAAATGAACATCAACACTGAAACATGTTTTGGCACTACCTTGGATCTAGAAGTTGATTATAAGATAAGAATTCTCCAAACACCAACATTCTGATTCAGTCAACAGAAAACACACTAAATCAAGAGCTCATTCAAGAAAAAGAAATTAGGTCAACAGAAGAACAAATTGTACCGGCAGGTGTCGAGTCACTACCACTTATATTGTTCAAGAAGATGATCAACTTGAACAACAATTAATGAGTCTAGAAACAAGCGCACAGCCCGCGATACGTCGATCTACCAGAATTAAGAAACCAGTTCAGAGGTTAATTTTGTAATCTAAATATTTTACTGATTGAACTATGAAATAAGGTAGGATAGACTGTTATATATATTAATCAAGTTACAGTGTTAAAAACAAGGGGTAAACCGCAGAGGAAATCAATTGTAGACACTAGAGGAAATTAAAGGAAATCACAGGAAATCAAAAAGGGAATCAGAGGAAATCAAAGGAAATCACAGGAAATCAAAGGAAATCAAAAGGAAATCAAGAGAAAATCAACGAGAAATCAAGAGGAAATCAATGAGAAATTAACGAGAAATCAACAGGAAAACAAAGGAAATCCAAAATTATCATAGCAAATCCAGTTAAACTAGATATTTTCTAGAACTAATAAACGTAACATGCACGACATAAGTCATAGCATTCATCATAAGAAAGAAAATATCAATTTAATCTTGAAAGTGGAGATTAAATAACCTTTTAAGGCCATAATGATAGATAATTCCAGTATAATATCATTAACTGACAGCATGATATTTCAGCTCGACAAATATTAAAGTTGTACAACAAAAGTTATAAAAAAGTCTTCACTTTGCTGGCTGTTAGACAATGAAAAGAATCGCGTCAGTGTGGATCGTCTCAAAAGATTTATTCAAAATAAGAAATGTAATAACTAGTAGTAGAGTTAACTCAGAAACAGATACCTGCCTTCAACATAAAGATGCATCTCAAATTCAAAAACCAGTCCAAATTGGAAAACAAAAAAGACGCTATAATATATCAAGTGACTCATCTGATTTAGACAACCCAAGTAGTATCGAATATGATGACAGCACGGACACCGAAAGTTTGAATTCTTCAAATTATTCTGATGATTTGAATCCTCGTTTGAATCTCAAGGCTGAAAATAGTAAGACTGATCGTTCTAAACCAGACTTAAATATAGACGATTATATTATAGGGCAATTAACAACTCAAAAACAAAACAAAAAATGTTACATTGGTAAAGTGTTATCACTTAACCCTACTTTTTGTGATTTTTTGAAAATCCAAAAATTCCGGATGCTTTTATGTTTCCGGACATTAAAGATCAGGGGGAGATCCAAGAACATGAATATATAATGAAACTACCTCCACCTCAGGTACTCAGAAGAGGCAGTTTAGTTTTTGGAAAAAAATTATTGAAAAAATATTTTATTTAATTCTAGTTTTTTTTTAAGTGATGTGATTAAAATTTGTGATAATCAACGGCCGGAATAATATCTCAGACGCTCGTACCAGTGCTGCCGCGTCGATACTTAGATTACAAATATATTTTTCTTTTGGACTATATCAACATAATATAATATTTCAAGATCACAAATCTGTGGTCCTGTGGTTGAAAAATTAATAAGGGCACCGAGTATTATTATTTGAAGTAATATAGTAATATAGAAGTAGTTTTTTTACTAGCTGTAAACACTCCTAGAGACGCACTGGCTACGACCTTGTGGACCAGATCAAAGAGTGCCCGCTACTCGCCGTAAAACACACCTTACTTCAACTGGGGAATTGCAGCCGCAAGATAAATTTCCGCGCACTGGTGATAATGTAACCTCAACCTGGGTCGAGGATGGTACAAGTATATATCGTAGAGAATACTAAAGTAAGAAACTGTGCAAAATTCTAGGTGCCCATGAACACTTTTAAATGGGAAAATTACCTCTGAAAATTTATCAAGTGGGGTTATTCACTCCTTTATTATACAAAAAAAAATTCTTACGTGTTAAATTTTGCATTTCAAAAGTTTTTTTCTAATATCCTTCATTTGGAAGTTGTGAACAAAAAATTGAAAGTGTTATCATCTGTATTTATGGGTAGCTAGAATTTAGCACAGTTTTTTACTTCAACATCATCTACAATATATACACAAATCTCGACCCAGGTTATGGGGTAAGTATTTTTTAAGAAGTTGTTTTATTTTGTGTTATTTTGTTATGATCCAACAGAAATGCTTTACTTTTATGTTTAGAGTTAGCGTTTTTTTTTTTAACATTTAATAAAATAAATGAAACTATTTGTTTTTTCTGTTTATGCTACCATAATAAATGAATAAACCCAATTTTTAAAAAGTAATGACTTAAGTTATTATTATAAGTTTGATTTAGTAGGTCAAACTTTAACATGATCTTGTATGCACAACACAGGGATGAACCTAATAAAATGATTTTGGACTATTTGGTATGCATTAATTACCTCTGTGAACGTATGAGCCAGTCGTTGTTGCCTTATGAGTATGACTCACTGATAAGTAAAAACTGCTGACGTAACTAAAAATATCCTTGGCCTTATGTACTTTTAATTTCGTAAAGTCAAAATTTCATAATATAATTTATTAAAAAATTAATAAAAATATATAATATAATGTATTAAATCTTTGAGTGATTTAAACGAACTAATTTGTACACACCAGACATTTTTAATTTCAAAATTAAATAGACCATAAGGTTTTCTGACTGAATGTGCAAAAAATCTAGAATATTGCATATGTCCACTTTTAGAACAAACATTTGACCCAAGAAAGTGTAAAATTCGAACGTATACTTACTCTATTGATTTAGACATCTAAAACCTCGATTTTAGAGTAGCGTTCTTTTTGTAAGTAAAATCAGATTTTTTTTCTTAAACATTTCAGTTTGTTGCTTAGCAGCACAATACAGTTTATTTATTTATTTTTTTCGTCTAAAGGGAAAACACCTCAGCTTACCTAGTCACCGTACGTTAGTAAACACTTGGTAAAAAAAGGTTTAAATTCAACATCATTGTCATTGTCAAAAGGAAATTAATTGTACACTTGATGGTCGGCGGTTTACCCCTCGGTTAAAAACGAAGACAATATTGTTATGAAATTTTAGAATAATTTTCAATTATGACATTTCAATGAAATAAAGAATAATTATCGAAACTGTTAAATACACAACACGCTTCGAAAGTAACGTTTCTGGACGTTTAAGTCGAAATAAAGTTCAGACTTAATAAAATTCGACAAAAATAGCTAAAATTTGATGGTTTCGTCGCCCGTAGGGTGTCTGATTGGCTTAAGTCCAAATATGTACTATCTAAGTTATAGATGTTGTAAGAAATTATAGAAATAAAATATTAGTGTATACTTTTTCTTGCGTATTTTGCATTTTCTTTGCATATTTTAGCAATTTTTGCATATAATGCCAAATTTCTCTGCACATATATACGCATATTTACATGTTTTTTTCTGAATATAATTCCGGGCTTTTTTGGTCATGACACGTCGAGGAACAACTAAAGTAGCCAGGCGCCCGATGGACTCGACTACATTACTTACTTACGCTCGGGAAGTAAAAATCAATATAATGTTTTTGTGTATTTGCTATCATTCAATATATCTGATAGTTGTCTTAATTACTTAGACACATTTTCAGTTCTATGGTGCGTTGAAGAAAACAATCGTGGCAAAAAACGTAAACGAGTATCTCATTCATCAACTTATCAAACGCATTTGGCGTATCAACAAAGCTATCCATTAAAAAAGCCATTTGTACCAATAAAAAAATAATAAGATATAGCGGAGTCTGTTCAATTCTTGAGTAACGAATGATAACCCCAAGTTGTTTATAGAGGGTGAGGGTGCACCACGTCAGAAAACGAATAAGTTTCTCGTTAGTTCCACAGATGTTCAAACTTCATTATATCGCACAAAATATTACTCCATTTTATGATATATTTCAAAACCGAAATACTCGTAGATACACATATTTTAAAAGTATGTAACTGAAGTATCCATGACCTACGCCACCATGTTTACCATTGTTCCCGATTCACTTGCAACATGCATGTAACTATGTACACGGAAATATTGAGTCACCGATATCAAACACTGATAGAATATCAATAACAGTCGCTGATAAAATCGGGTTCATTTTACTGTTTACGCTCACAATAAATAAATAAAGAAAGCAAACCACACACAGCAGTTATGTACTATATCTACATTTGCCAGAAGTACGATAATCGCGACATTATCAAACATTTGTGCGCTAAATGTTTTGCTGGTTGCAGACTACTTACGTTTTCATCTTCGGATGCTGCAGTTCCATCCACAAACCGAGCAACGTTCGAGAGCACCGTCTGCCGTCGTGCCGCCTTGAACCGTTCTGTTATGATGACTATTGTATTGTTACAATACAATAGTAACAGCTTAATATCTACCTTATTGATCGCCACCCCGACTTCAATGGCGGCAGCCCGAAGAGCATTCAACATTTTTATTGCAGTGCGTCTCAATACTCGAGTCAAGAAAGTTATTGGCCTTGTTTCGGCTCGAGGGTCGCTTAATTAATCGAGCTTCGGACGACTTGCTCGCGTCGGAATCGAGGAACCGCATAACGATCTCGCGTACCTACTTTTAATGATGTTTGTAAATATTTTCTCGGCTGGCTTCAATGAAGCTGTTTTAATTGTGGCTTAATTAAATTTAATGGGGATTCGGAGAGGAAGCGATTTTTGGCAGTGATTGATCAGAGCCGAGGCCGTTCCGAGAAAAGTAAACTGCTTAGAGGAGTAATAAAAGGTTCCTGTTGAGAAGTGAATTAATAAAGGAGATACTGTTATTGTGTGATTTAATTATGATGAAATTACGATAATGTGTTTAGAAACTACTAAGCCTTTGGTCGGTTTGGTGAGTGTGGAAAAATTAAATTACGCGCAAGTTGCACACACTATTTTCTTTGATGACCTTAAAAACTACGTTATGTGGAAATAAAAGCATTTCCTGAAAAAAGATTTATAACTTGTCGAAAGCTTGTTTATGTTTTTCTGTAAATAAATATAAAGTTTGTTGTGGTTTTGAATAAATGTTTACATGTGATGGTAAATCCAAATTGATTTTTTCGTCGCAAACCATAACTGGACGTCCCGGTCCCCCTTCAACGAGTATAATTAGTGTAAGGTCAGTTAATTAACGATTTTTTATTTTGAAATGTGCAATTATTGACATAAACTTTATTTAACTGTTTGTAAATTCACAGTTCACGTTCGTTCTTTTTACGTTCATGGCTCTAACGCAATTAGAACTAAAGCCATTATTCAAACATCACTAATAAAAATGTATATTTATCTCCTACAAAAACTTGATGACGTCGGCTCAAAGTGTTGCTAAATAGTCTCACCTAGAATTGTAACCCTCATTTTTAACCCCGCGTATGCAGATTTTTAAAAGAAAATCAAAATTTTACAATTTATTTAATAAATTAATTTTTGACATTTCTAAATTTTCAATTTTTCCATTTTTCGATTTATCATTTTTTTATTTTTTATTTTTCAATTTTTCTATTGTTAACTTTTCAATTTTTCGTTTTTGGCCTAATTCGATTTCTGAATTTTTGATTTTTCTAATTTTCAGGTTTTTGGTTTTTCAATTTTTCGATCTTTTAAATTTTCGATTTCTCGACGTTTCGGTTTCCCAATTATTCGTCATTTCAATTTTGGAATTTTTCAAAATTTCGATTTTTAAATTTTATGATTCGAGTTTTTACAATTTTCGGTTTTTTTGATGTTTCGATTTCCCAATTTTTCGATTTTTTTTTTTAGATTTTTCTAATTTTTGAAGTTTCCATTTCTAGATTTTTCAAGTTTTCGGTGTTTTAATTTTTTAATTCTTAAAATTTTTGATTCTTCGGTTTTTAAATTTTTCGATTTTTAAATTTTTCCATATTTTGATTTCTTTTTTTGTTTTAAATTTTTTAATTTTTCGATTTTGGCCTATTTCGATTTCTCAATTTTTTCGATTTTTTAGGTTTTTGGTTTCTTTCGATTTTTTAAATTTTCGATTTTCGACTTTTCGATTTCCGAATTTTTCGTCATTTCAATTTTGGAATTTTTCAATTTTTCAGTTTTTCAATTCTTCAATATTTCGATTTTGGATTTTTGATTTCTCGGTTTTTGGATGTTTCGATATATCAAGTTTTCGATTTTTAAATTTTAGATTTTTGGTTTTTTTGAAGTTTCGGTTTCTGGGTTTTTCAATTTTTCGGTATATTAATTTTTATTTTTTTTTTAATTTTTGATTCTTCGGTTTTTGGATATTTCAGTTTTTCCATTTTTCAATTTTCTTTTAATTTTTCAATTTTTCTATTGCTAACTTTTTAATTTTTCGATTTTTCAGATTTTTGGTTTTTCAATTTCTCGATTTTTTAAATTTTCGATTCTTCGAATTTTCGATTTCCTAAATTTTCGTCATTTCAGTTTTGAAATTTTTCAATATCTCGATTTTTCAATTTTTCATTTCTTCAATTTTTTGATTTTGCATTTTCGATTTCTCGGTTTTCGATTTTTCAATTTTTCGATATTTAAATTTTATACTTTGAGTTTTTACATTTTTCGGTTTTTTGGTGTTTTGATTTCTCAATTGTTCGTTTTTTAAATTTTAGATTTTTCGATTTTTTGAAGTTCCGATTTCTGGATCTCCCAAGTTTTCGGTATTTTAATTTTTTCAAATTTTTATTTCTCGATTTCTAAATTTTTCGATTTTTCAAATTTTCCATATTTTGATTTATCTTTTTTTTTATTTCAAATTTCTCAATTTTTCGATTTTGGCCTATTTCGAGTTCTCAATTTTTCGATTTTTTAGGTTTTTGGTTTTTCAATTATTCAATTTTTTAAATTTTCGATTTTTCAACTTTCCGATTTCCTAATTTTTCGTCATTTTAATTTTGGAATTTTTCAATATCTCGATTTTTCAGTTCCTCGATTCTTCAATTTTTCGATTTATCGGTTTTTCGATTTTTCGAGTTTTAAATTAGACTTTTGAGTTTTTATGTTTTTCGGTTTTTTGATGTTTCGATTTCTTGATTTCTCGATTTTCAAATTTTATAATATGCATTGAGATTTTGAGTTTTTGTTTTTTTTTATTTTAAATTTTTCAGTTTTTAACTTTTCGGTTTTTAGATTTTGATCTATTTCTATTCCAGGGTTGCGATTGTTTAATTTTTCGATTATTCGACTTTTTGATTTCCCAATTTTTCATCGTTTCAGTTTCAGAATTTTTCAATTTTTCGATTTTTCAGTTTTTCGATTTTTAAATTTCAGTTTTAATTTTTTTTAATTTTCCGATTTTTTGTTGTTTCGATTTCTCGATTCCTCGACTTCTCGACTTTTCAATTTTTCAATTCTTCGATATTTTATTTTTTAATTTTTGGAATTTCTAAATTTTTAATGTTTCAGTCTTAGGATTTCTCAATTTATCCATATTTCAGTGTTGGGATTTTTCCAGCTTTCGACTCTTCCATTTATCGATTCTTCAAATTTTCGATTTCTCGATTTTTTCATTTTCCGATTTCCCAATTTTCCGATGTTTCAGTTGTACGAAATTAAAATTTTTCGAGCCTTCAATTTTTTTATTTTTCAATTTTTCAATTTTTGACGTTTCTAAATTTTCAATTTTTCGATTTCTTCATTTCTCGATTAATTGATTTTTTCATTTTAAGACTTTTCGACTTTTGGATGTTTCGATTTGTCAATTTTTTTCTTATTCTCTAATTGTCGATATTTAATTTTCCCATTCTTCGACTTTTCGAAATCTCGATTTCCCAATGGTTCGACGTTTCGGTTTTGGAATTTTTCAATTTTCCGATTCTTCAATTTTTCCATTTTTAAATTTTTCCATTTTTCGATATATCTTTTTTTTATTTTGAATTTTTCAATTTTCGTTTCGTTAACTTTTAAATTTCCGATTTTCGACTTTTCGATTTCCTAATTTTTCGTCATTTCAATTTTGGAATGTTTCAATATCTCGATTTTTCAGTTTTTCAATTCTTCAATATTTCGATTTTGGATTTTTGATTTCTCGGTTTTTGGATATTTCGATATCTCAAGTTTTCGATTTTTAAATTTTAGATTTTTGGTTTTTTGAAGTTTCGGTTTCTGGATTTTTCAATTTTTCGGTATTTTAATTTTTTTTTTTTAAATTTAAATTCTTCGGTTTCTAAATTTTTAGATATTTCAATTTTTCCATTTTTCGATTTTCTTTTCATTTTTCAATTTTTCTATTACTAACTCTTTTTAATTTTTCGATTTTTTAGGTTTTTGGTTCCTCAATTTCTCGATTTTTTAAATTTTCGATTCTTCGACTTTCCGATTTCCTGATTTTTCGTCATTTTAATTTTGGAATTTTTCAATATCTCGATTTTTCAGTTTTTCGAGTTTTAAATTAGACTTTGAGTTTTGTTTTTCGGTTTTTTAATTTTTTAATTTTTAAAATTTTTGATTTTTAGGTTTCTAATTTTTTCAATTTTTTAATATTTCTATTTATTGAGATTTCGATGTTTCGAGTTTCTGACTGTTCAATTCATCGATGTTTCGATTTATCGATTTTTTTATTTAAAATTTTTCAGTTGTCAATTTTTAACTTTTCGGTTTCTCAATTTTCAGTTTCGAAATTTTTTAATTTTTCGATTTTTAAATTTCAGATTTTAAATTTTTTTATTTTTCGATTTTTTGTTGTTTTGATTTCTCGAATTTCCAATTTTTCGATATTTTAATTTATCATTTTTTTTAATTTTAGGTGTTTCGATTTCTCGATTTCTCGACTTCCCGGGTTTTCAATTTTTCAATTCTTCTTATTTAATTTTTTAATTTACGTAATTTCTAAATTTTTAATGTTTCAGTTTTAGGATTTCTCAATTTATCTAAATTTTTTGATTTCCCGATTTTTTCATTGTTATACGAAATTAAAATGTTTCGTTTTTGCAATTTTTATATTTTTCAATTTTTCAATTTTTGATGTGTCTAAATTTTCTATTTTTCGATTTCTTCATTTCTAGATTAATCGATTTATTGATTTTCCAATTTCTCGACTTTTCTATGTTTCAATTTGTCAGTTTTTTTCTTATTCTCTAATTTTAGATATTTAATTTTTCGATTTTTCGACTTTTAATTTTTTGATATTTCAGTATTGGAATTTCTCAAAATTTCGATATCTTCAATTTCTGGATTTTTTACTTTTTCGATGTTTCAATTTTTCGGATTTTCAATATTTCGATTTCTCGATTTATCAAAATTTCGATGTTTCGATTTTTTTATTGCTCAGTTTCTCGATTTTTCGATTTTTCAATTTTTCCATTTTTCGATTTATCATGTTTTTATTTTTAACTTTTCAATTGTTAACTTTTCAGTATTTCGATTTTGGCCTAATTCGACTTCTGAATTTTTGAGTTTTTGAATTTTCGGGTTTTTGGTTTTTCAATTTTTCGATTTTTTAAATTTTCGATTTTTCAGTTTTTCGATTTTTAAATTTTATGCTTCGATTTTTCGACTTTTCGGTTTCCCAATCATCCGTCATTTTAATTTTGGAATTTTTCAAAATCTCCATTTTTCAGTTTTTCAATTTTTCGAATAGTATTTTTCCCGTAGGTTATCTGCTTTAAATTGTTCACACTAGTACGGACCGCGTTCCCTTGAGGAAAGTTGCTAGAGATATTTTAATTATGAAAATTACAGGAAAAATGCAACTGTTTTAGCAGATGAGAACAAAATCTATAGAAACAAATTATTGAAATCTATACTATCTATATTATATTATATATTATATATATATATATAATATAATACACATAGTATTTTTTGAACAACACGATACTCAAAAACATGTTTTTATTTCTCGTAAAGAAATAAGGATTTTGCAACTAAACTCCGCCCCCTTGGTTCACGACGAATAAAAAAAATCATCAGAAATGAGACAGGGTGGGTGGGCGGGGCTTATATTTTGGTTGTATGAATTACTGAAAAATCAATTTCATCTTCTACCTATTTTAAATCTAATTTTTGAATAAAAAACGACTTTTGTAAACAGTGTTTTTTGACTTTTTTACGCAGTCTTGGATGTTGTATACAAGTTTTACCGATTTTGTATAATTTTTAAAAATTGCCTGTGTTCTAGATCACACTCTATAATCTCTTTCTGAAAAATACTTTTTAAAATTTCGATGATTTTAGAGTACCCAAAAAATTTGGAAAATGTAAACACAATAACAACTACAATACATTTTAAAAAACCACAAGTGACAAACACCGCAATAAAATATATTATCCCAATAACATTATTTTTTAGCGAAAGCGCTTATGGGACTGCTTTACACAAAAGCCAACGACTGTTTAATCGTCCAAACGATTTTAAAAATGTTTCTGCGAAGTTATAAACCGGCAGTAAATGTGTTTGCCTACACGTAACCAACTCTCCGAGCTGCTTGAATCGTCTCATCAAAATCACAAAAACATCAATAAAGCAACTGTGCTTAATGAAATTATTTATCTAAAATTAATTCCTCCGTTATCTACCGATTAATAAGTAGTTTTCAAATCAAGTAGCACCCAACAACCGCCTCTTTTTACCATCCGCTTTTTCAGTCCCACAGTTTCTTGCAGGCCCAACAAAACCACATAGACCTCCACTGTTTATCAGAGTGTCGCTCCGTGCTTATCTCCTCCTTACAAGCACTTATACCAATAAAGACATGTCTCTGCGTCCCCGAGCTGCACCACGACCAGGCAAGTTAATTAAATTCGTTAATTAGTTATCTAACTTTCGAAAACGCTTTTCAGTTCCGTATGTCCTGCGTATGCGGGTCGCAAACCTGGACGACAAAGACTTCATCGAGATAGACTACGACGAAAACAAATTGAACTATCGTGACCTGATCGAAACCTGCTGCGAGGAGCTGGGTGTTGATAAAATTGACATCGAGAAAATACGAAAATTGCCCGATGTTACGATACGTCGTGATGAAGATGTTCAGCGGTTCAATAAGTTGGAACATTTAGAGGTGGTCATTGTGCCTTCGAGAATGCAAAGGCAGTATAACTATCAGTTGTAGAGTTATGAGGTTTTGATAAATTTGACGTGGTTCTGGGTGGGTCCTTGGAAATGAGAATAGTAGATTTCAATTTGTGATTGTGTGTAATTTTTAGTTCGACTAATCGGTGATTTGTCATTGTGGATTCAATTTTAATAAAGGCGCTGAAGAATTGTTGATGTTTTTTCTGACGTTTCGTTCTCTCTGAACATTTTTTTTCTTTTTTTGGAAAATTTTGTCCATTGTTCACGATTATCACTATTATTATTAGTAAATAGTAGGGTGTAAAATGTTACTTCTGGACCACGACATTTGGCGTTTGAAAAATCAAGGTTGAATCTTACAAATTTAGCTGTTTTCCCAAAAGTCAACAACCGAACAAGACCTAAAACGTTCGTCGCCTGAAAACTTGTTTGATCTACAGACCAGAGCGCGCTCAGGCCAATGTCGACTCTAAGCGATTTGGTTGGTTTGGACTATAATTTCTGCGGGAAATAGTTGTTTGGTCGGTTTTTATAACGACCAAGTGAATATTTTTGGTACATATTTAGATGATTTTACATATTTTGTTTAACTAAGATTTAATTCTTTATTTGTGTTTTATACTAGCAAAACGTCTTAAACTAAGAATATTGTTGAAATCGTATTAACCCAATGGATTTTTTTCGGGAAAATGTTTTGGAAACACTGTGTTTTATTTTGTATGAATTTTTAAATGTTTTTAGTGATAATTTTTCTGGTTGTTTTCGATACACTGTATGATATTAACAGTGAGAAAAAAAATGAAAAATTAAATTAATCGAAAATTCGAAAAATCTAATAAATCGAAACCTTAAAAAATCGTAAAACCGAAACATTGAAAAGTCGAAACATCGAAAAACTGGAAAATCTAAAAACCGAGAAATCGAAAAATCAAAAGATCAAGAAATCGTGGAGTCGAAAAGTCGAACAATTGAGAAACCGAAATAGGTCAAAATCGAAAAATCTAAAATTAAAAAATGGAACAATTTATAAATTGATAAATCGATGATAAATAAATCGAGAAATCAAAAAACTTAAAAATTCGAAAAATTGAAAAATTGAGAGATTGAAAAATCAAAGAACGAGAAATCGAAAAGTGATGAAGTCGAAAAATCGAAAAATAGAGAAATCGACAAACAAAAAGTTAAAAGTTGAAAAATTGGAAAAGCGGAAAAATCAAAAAACGAAAAACTGGAAAACTGGAAAAACTGAGAAACCGAAATAGGCCAAAATAAAAAATTGAAAAATTGAAAAACAGAACAGCTAAAACTAGGAAGTCGAAAAATCGAAAGATTAAGAAATATTGAAAAATTAAAATATCAAAAAATTGAAAAATCTAAAATTTAAAAATCCAAAAATTGAAAAATCGAAAAAATAAAAAGATAGACACATCTAAAAATCCAGCACTCAAAAATAGAAAAGCCGAAGAATTGAAATATTGAAAAAACCCAAAACTGAAATATCGAAAAACTGAAAAATGAAAGAAAAGCTAAAAATGGGAAACTAAATCGGGAAATCAAAACATTGAAAAATCGAAAAATTGAAAACAGAAAATCTAAAACCGGGAAGTCGAAAAATCGAAAGATTAAGCAATCGAAAAATTGAAAAATCGAAAAAGTAAAAAAATCGACACATCGAAAACTCCAAAAACGAAAAATCGAAAAATTTCAAAACTGAAAAATGGAAAACCGGAAACTGAAATATCCAAAAACTGAGAACCTAAAAAGTCGAAAAATTGAGCAAGCGAGAAATCCAAAAAGTGAACACGAAAAATAGAATCCTTCAAAGATCGATAAATTGAAAAATCAAAAACCTGAGAAATCAAAAAATTAAAGAATTGAAGAACAGGAATATCGAAACCCTCGAAAGTCAAGAAATGGGAAAATCAAAACATCGATTAATTGAAAAATGAAAAATTTGAAAAAACGACAATTGAAAAACAGAAAATCTAAAACCGGGAAGTCGAAAAATCGATAGATTAAGAAATCAAAACATTTGAAAAATTCTAAAATTTGAAAAACTGAAATATCGAAGAACTGAAATGAAAAATCTAGAAATCGGAAAATCTAAAATTTTAAATATTGAAAAATTAAAATATCAAAAAACTGAAAAATCTAAAATTTAAAAATCGAAAAATTGAATAAACGACAACTGAAGAACAGAAGATCTAAAACCGGGAAGTCGAAAAATCGAAAGATTAAGAAATCGACCTTATCAAATACTAACCCCACCAACCCGCCCGCTCTTTTCTTAGAAGGTATGTTATTTGCCAGTTAGTCATATCTTAGCAAGTACTAGCTCCTCCCATGATCCCTTTTCTTATAGGGTATGTCATTTACCAAAATCAGTTTTCTCTTACAAGGTACTAGCCCCACCCACACACGCTATTCTCATTCTAACGATTTTATCTCTGTTCAGTTGAGATCCACCTTTCATTCGCAATAGAATGAATCACTGAAATGTAGGCAGGGTGGGTGGGCGGGGTTATTATATGTTCGTTAGTATAGTGCGGATGGGAACTAATAGAACGTATCCTGTTAAAAAAGCGTTAATCTTTTTTTATATACTCTTTGTTATAAAATTTATTTTTTATATCAGAAGAAAAAAAATGGGAGAACGGGTGGGTGGGCGGGACTAAGTTCAACTTTTTCCTACCCTCTTTGATAAGCAAGCAATAGCCCCACCTAACTGCCCTTTATTTTCTTAGAGGGCATGTTAATTTGACATAATCAGTCTTATTTTTCAAGTACTTGCCCCGCCCACCCACCCTTTGTTCCTAGAAAGTATGTCATTTACCAAAGTCAGTCTTATCTTAGCAAGTCTAGTTCCGTCCACTCGTTTTCATTCTAACGATTTTATTTCTGTTGAGTCACTGAAATGGAGGCGAAACGAACGGGCGGGGATAGGCTTTTAAAAAAAGAAAAAACAGCGCCAATTGGAAATTTTTTGAACATATTTTCATTATTTTATTTACTCATATGCATTCAGCGTAGTTACGCCTAATCAGCATGGCTTTGTTAAGGGCAGGTCCATCACCACTAATTTAACCGTGAAAACAGTTTGTGTGATTTTTTCAAAAATGTCCCAAATTTTTGAAAATTTTGTAAGTTAAGGATATCGTCTCCTCAATTTTTTTAGTAAATGCCATTTAATTTATAAAATAACATATTCCTGTCTTTGAGGTTTATGAATTTGCCTTGATTCTTTACCCTAGGCATTCATTCGACATTGTTTAAAATTCTCGTTACTATAACCTAAAAAATTATGAATGACATTTATAAACGAAGTTAGGTCCATAGGAAAATCACTAGAGAATTTCATTTTTAAGTGACATTTACATTGGCAGGAAGCTCGAATTCCGTCCAGTTATTCGTCCTCCGCCGCTTTCTCCGTTGGTAGAAATGTAGAAAAAAGTTTGGAGTTTTAATCTCTACAGTCAAGTTTTAATTTTAACTTTTAATTTATAATGTTAATGAAGTTTAAGTCATCTTAATGGTTAGAACACACTATAGTATATACTTATACGTATAAGTTATAAATTACAGGCCATAATCTAATTTAAATGAAACAACAGATTCATGTCGCCAATTTGTTGGTTGGAACATTGACCAGTGAAAAATGTGGCACTTCGAATTTGATTAGCACAAAAGCTTTGGAAAAGACAAACAGTAATACCTTTACAAGGTTTATTCATGGAAATTTCTGGAACATTTAAAAAATTGAAATATGGAAGAGGTGAAATGAAAAATCGAGAAATCGAAAAATTTAAAATTTCAATTATTGAAAAATTAAAATACCAAAAAATTGAGAAATCTAAAATTTAAAAATCGAAAAAGTAAAAAGTCGACACATCGAAAAATCCAGAAGTCAAAATTGGAAAAGTCAAAGAACAGAAATATTGAAAAATCCCAAAACTGAAATATCGAAAAACTAAAAAATGAAAGAAAAACTGACTAATCGAAAAACTGAAAAATCTCAAAACTGAGAATCTAAAGAATCGAAAAATTGAGAATCAAAAAAGTGAAGTCAAAATATCGAAACCTTAAAAAAATCGAAAAATTGAAAAATCAAAAACCTGCAAAATCGTAAGATCGAAAAATTGAATAACAAGTAAACTGAAAAATCCTAAAACTGAAATGTCCAAACACTGAGAAATTAAAAATTGAAAAATTGAGAAATCGAAAAATCAGAAAAGTGATGTTGAGAAATCGAAACCTGAAAAAATAGAAAAATTGAAAAACCGAAAAACCTGAAAAATCAATTAATCGAAAAATCGACAAATAAAGAGTTTATAAAAGTCAAAAATTGAAAAATCAAAATATTTAAAAATCGTAAAATTGGAGAGAAAAACTGAAAACCGAAAAATCGAAAAATTAAGAAATACTGAAAAATTAAAATATCAAAAGATTGAAAAATCTAAAATTTAAAAATTCAAAAATTGAAAAATCGAAAAAATAAAAAGGTAGACACATCGAAAAATCCAGAAGTCAAAAATAGAAAAGCCGAAGAATTGAAATATTGAAAAATCCTAAAGCTGAAATATCTAAAAACTGAAAAATCGAAAAATCAAAAAAGTGAAGTCGAAAAATAGAAACTTTAAAAATCGAAAAATTGAAAAATCAAAAATATGAAAAATCAAAAAATTAAAGAATTGAAGAACAGGAAAATCAAAACACAAAACTAAATCAGGAAATCAAAACATTGAAAAATCGAAAAATTTAAAACGACAATTGAAAACAGAAAATCTAAAACCGGGAAATCGAAAAATCGAAAGATTAAGCAACCGAAAAATTAAGTAAAAAAATCGACACATCGAAACTCCAGAAGCCAAAAATCGAAAAGTCGAATCGAAATATTGAAAAATCCCAAAACTGAAATATCGAAAAACTGAAAAATGAAAGAAAAACTGAAAAATGCAAAACCTGGAAAATCCGAAAACTGAAATATCCAAAAACTGAGAACCTAAAAAGTCGAAAAATTGAGCAAGCGAGAAATCCAGAAAATGAACTCGAAAAATAGAAACCTTAAAAAATCGAAAAATTGAAAAATCAAAAACCTGAAAAATCACAAAATTAAAAAATTGAAGAACAGGAATATCGAAACCCTCGATTAATTGAAAAAATCGAAAAATTGACAGTTTATAAATGTCAAAT